TTCCGCCAAGCCAGCGAGTAGGCAGGCCACGGAGATCGGGAGGATGAGCGAGGGATGCCATACAATTAAGTAACTATGCAGAGGTAATGTGCGTCTAACTAGAAATAAATAAACAAGGCGCCCAGTTTGCAAGGTAGCATGCAGCACGGTGGCAGAGACGATTCCTCGGGCTTCCCCAATCAGGGCGACTACTGAATGCGTGCTCTGCTCAAAGAGCAGGGGTGAAGGCGAGGCAGGGAACTTGGGCTCGAAATTGTGGCTTAATGATAGGCCAGCCGCAACGGCGTTGGCCCGCGCTGCGCCGCGCTTACTCAATTACCTTTGACTAAATTATGGCCAATTGTTGCGCTGAACATGTGTTGCATAATTACGGGCTGTGCGGCAGCCACGTACGCGCGCGTCCAGGCGACGTTTGTTGGCTGCAAGCACAAATTTGATTACTACTTATAGATTAGATTTTGATTTTGATTCTCTGGCTTCTGTGGCCCAGGCCTTGCGGCCTTTACTAAATGTGTTGCAAACTTGGCCACGTTGACAGGTTAATGTGTGCTCGAGGGCTGGCAGGAATTGATTAGTTAAGTTTTGGCCTAGGGCGTTAACACTAGACAAACTCGAATCAATTTTCGGTGCACAGACGATTGCTTACAAAGTTCATCGCAGCCCCTGCTCCTAACAATTTCGTTGTAGTATTTGCTAGGCAATTAGCGTCGCAACATTTACGAGTGCAGACAAATTACCGGGCAACATGTTGCAATTAAAATAACGGCACGCCAACTTTCGCCGCATTTCCAGGCACACAAAAATGTTGCGCGCGTGCGCAGCAGCAACCAATTGCTAAGCCCATGTTGTTGATGTTGCTGTTGCTGTTGCTCTGATTGTTGTTGCTGCTGCTCTAACTGTTGCCGCTGGCCAAGTTAAGTGCGCTACTTTATGGCGTAAAACACTTAGACAAACCCTCTGCATACACACAAGCACACACATACACACACCCGAACACACATTCAATTTGTTTGCATTTTAATTGTCGTTTGTCGCCAGTGCTAAAAAGAAAAATTGCCAACAACTCGTCGTCAGTTGTCGCAGCAGCAACACCAGCAACAACAACACCAAATGCCACCACAGCAATACACTTTTTACGGATTTATCCTACGCATTTTACGCTGTTAACAGCTTTGTCAGAGGGTGTGTTAAACATATTTTTATGGCTTAGTTTGCGTTTGCTTCACAACTTTTTCTCTTTGGTTTTTAGTTGTTGGTTTAAGTTTTGGTTTTGGTTTGCTGCGAGAGCTGCATTGACTTTTTATGGTTATTAACGCAAGCCACAAAGCCGCTTTTGGCCCCTTAGCGCTTTTTGTTACCTTAGCAATAGTTGCTGTTGCTGTCGCTGTCGTTGTTGCTGTTGCTGGTGTAGGCGCGCTTAACAAAATGTTTTTGCGATAATTACGCGCTAAAAGTCAAGTGACAAAGCGTTTAAGATAAGATGGAATTTTGGCTGCATGTCAGCACCAGACATTTACATTCAACCGAAAACGGAAACGGGCTTCAAAATTCAAAATCACATAGCATAGATTTCAAGTGGAAAAGTTTGTTTCCTTATGCCAAGGTTAATGTGTCGAAATGCAAATTGGGTTTTGGTAATTTAATCAACTTGACAGCAGTTTCGCACTTTGGTTCGAATGTTGCAGTCGATTGCCATCGTATACACAATACCCTTTGCATTGTGACTTTGCTTATGAAATCAATTGTCCGTCTTTAAGTGCTATATCAGTAGCCATCAAACTGTGACATGATAGAATTTAGATATTTGCAATAATTAGCTATATAAAAAAGATTAAGATTAAGCATCAATTGGCTGAACTATTTTATTCTCAAGACACCAAACGCAGCAGCTTGCATGTATTTGCGACCACATTAAAGCTTTAAATTAGTATAAAATCTTAGAGTTTAACTGATTTATTACAATTCGGCAGCATACTTTATCTTTAGTGTGATTTTTAGTACGCCATTGCAGTTTAGTTTTATATGCAAAACAATAGCTAAAAACAAATAGAGAAAATTGAATTAAAATAAAACACAGCAACACCTGCATTAAAATGCCACCAACTCGTTGGCAATCAATCAACAATTGTTGACAAGAATGTTAGTTTTTATGGCCAAGTGCATGGGCCATAAACAAAAGCGCTGAAATTAAAAAAGACTTAAAAGGCGTTTAGTCAGTTAGCCATGATATTTTGACACACTTGCTGCGACATTATGTTACCAACGATATTTGCATCTGGCTTTCGATAACAAGAAATGCAATCAGTCGATTTACGGAATTTGATTTACCAGCTTGTTAGATGTTGCTGTTGCTGTTGCTGCTGATGATGTTGCTGCTGTGAATGCTGTTGCTGCCTGTTATGCAAGCGGCAAAATGTCAGTCACTTGGCAACATGCGGCTTGCCAATGAATGTCAAACATATTGGACTACTGCAAATGTCAGCAACTGACAGCCAATACACACACACGCACTCTCGCATGATTTGTATGTGGTTGCTGCCGCACTTGTTTATGCTGTGTTGCCGGCAACATGTTGCTGCTGGCGGCCTGATTGGCCTGGCAAGCGACAAATTAGGCGCACAATCGCTTGACTTTTACCGTAGCAATGTTTATGGCCCATTAACTTGGCTTGTGCAAAGTTCAAGCCGGCCAGCCAACGCCTTTAAACATACGAGCATTCACCTACTCTTTGATTAAGCAATTTTTTTTTTGGTTTTGTTGGTCAGCAGCCACAATTTTATGATAGCCAATTAATTTTTAATGCATATGCTTGTCTATGGCCAGCATCGATACAATACGCCCAGCAACAGCAAGTGCTCAAGGGTCAGCAATTTTTTGATTAACCCCTGTCACGCTAATAACTTGCCCATCGGCCTGCCGATAAACCCATTATCACTGACCACTGACCACTGACCAGCGAGCAGTGACCGCAACAGCGCCCGATAACTTTCTCATTGGCAATTGCAATTCTCAGCTCGTAGCTGTGACCCATTTAGCCAAATCTCAGGCATTAGTTGTGCAGCGAAAATTGCATAGCCCAACTGTCTCTTCCACTCCCTCAATCGATCTATCGATTGCGAATTATTGTCTTTGGCACCGTCTGCTAGTCGCGGCTATATAATTTATGTTGCCCCGAAAAGTCAATTGATATAGACAAGAAATATTAGTATGTATTTTCGTATGCCCAGCGCTTCCAGCTATGAGTTGCAAGCCGAAGCTGGCAGATGGGGCGGTTGGTTGTCCGATGTCGATAGTCCGACTTTATTTCGGCATTTGGCATGAGGCGGCCTCAATAGCTCAGATGCCCAAATACCGATTAGATCTCGTTGTCTGTCCATGACTGCGACTATGACTAAATGGACTGACTGTGTGATGAAGTTGTAGACGTTTTGGCAAATTGATTTTACGGCTACAGTTTCAATTCTGACTGCGAAATAACTCAAATGTAGCTTTGGGGCATACTTAGACTTTAAACAGATCGTTGGGTAACGATTGGCCTGGTACTGGGAGCGGCAGAGGGTGGTCTCTATGATGTGGCGCGATAAGTAACTGGTAGATGATTGTTATTTTAATGTTATGGTCAGGTTTTGTCTTTCGCTGCACACAAAGAGTGTGTCGAATTGTGTGGGCGTTACTAACGGATTGACAAGAACGAAGAAGGAGTGATAGAGAAATTACCTTATAAACATAAACCGATCGAAAGTGGAGCACTAAAACTTTATTATGAGGGTGAAGGGTATTGGTTTAAAATGTTATATTTTTATTTTTTTGGGTCTCTAAACAGAACCCGATCATCATTGAGAAAATTCTTAAATATTTATATCAGAGCCATGTCGTGAAATAGCCCTACCCACATTGCAATCCAGCACAGCCCACAACTGCCTTTAAATCTCTAATCTCCTAACCTTGCGCCGATTTCTCAACAACAACAACAACCCAAGCAATTGAGTGCGGCACAAAAAATGATAAATTAAGTACTAATTATATAAAATGCAACAATAACAAAATCAAATCGACAGCTGAGGCAAAGCATATCAAACGATGCCGCCTCCAAAATAAAATCAAGAATGAAAATAAAAACACTCTGAGAGAACGTGTGCGGATTGCGGCCACGCCCACTGAATGTTAACTGCGTGGGCGTTGCGCTAATGAACAAAACTTTTGCATATTGCAATGCTTGGATAGAAGGTTTGTTTGTTGTTGTTGCTGCCGCAGTTGTTGCTGCTGCTGTTGCTATTGCAGCTATTGCAATTGTTGCGGTTGCAGTTGCTGTTGCGTCTTGAATGGGTGATAAATTATTTCCCGCCATTTGCATAAATGCTTTGAATGCATTAATTGAAGTCCAAAGGCACACAATTTTGCAACGCCCTCGACACGCCTCCCCCCACACCCCGTTGGCTGTTTGCAGTTGCGTGCTGCAGTTGTCGATCTAATCAATTGCAGTTTATTGTTAGCCAGGCCCATAGAGAACCCATAGAGAGGCCCATTAACCATGTGAGCGCTACACTTGTATGCCTTATATGCCTGCACTCTGTATCTATGTATTTGTATCTGCGTATCTGTATCTCAATATATTCGCCTCTTTAAGTGGCTGCCGCCTAATTGTTCATAAAAGTCAACAGTCAATAGCTCTTTATGTTTGCCTTTGAAATTTATATTTATTTATCATTATTTTCAAACACAATGGATATCGCATACTCTTGCTGCTGCTGCTGTTGTTGTTGTTGCTGTGTCTATTGCTGGTTTTTGTAGATTTGTGTAGCTTCATAATTTTTCAAGACATTTGCCTAGCAGTAGCCATTGGCTGACTGCTGACTGAGCCGTTGATTTGAATTCAAGGTCTGCCATTCTTTACAATTAGTGACAGAATTTATGAGCGATTTCAATTTTAAATTGTTTTCAATCGTTGCTGTTGTTGCTGTTGTAGGCTAACGAGTTTCAAACATTGCCGCTGCAGCTAAAGCACGGCCCGTGGCCAACAAAAGCTTACAAATCTTCAAAAAATTCGAACTTTTTTTTTTATTGTGGGGCAAAGTTCACAAATCGCTTAAAATTGTATTCGCTGTTTTATAATTTAGTTCTTTGAAAGTGGCCGAAAATGTTGTGATAAGTGCAAAACACGTTTCAAATGCATCTTTTACAAGTGAGTTTTAAGCTTCCAAGCGTTCATGGCGTGATTAACTATCAGTCAGTCAAGACCAACATTCTTACATAAAAAGATAACAACTTGGTCAATTTGGAACAAATAGCCCCAGGCCCAGCAAACAATTATGTGGTCAAACGACCATTTGGTCGATGGGCGATAAGACCAAGCTGACTTGTCTTGGGAGTAACTGCGCGCGACTTGAACTTGAATGTAAGCGTAAGCTTGGCGAAATATGTAATTGCCGCTAAGGCTGATAAGAATCAGTCAGAAGCATAAAAAGTGAACTAGCTGCTCCCAAAACCGCTTAGTGTCCTTTGGTCGTGCATAGAGCGTTGACTATTCCAGAAATCAAGCTTTGACGTTTAATTGAATAAGGCCAAAAATGTTATTTTGGTTGCAAATATCTACTATATATAAATCGCTGTCTCTTCTTGTTATTATTCTTCAAACGGCTGGAGTCAACGCTGTTAAATCACAACCAGCTCCATCAGCTGGACTATTGCAAGTTTTGCAACAACTCAATAGTGCCTACAAAATTAAACTAAACATTTTCGTCAACATAAAGAATAGCGCTCAGGATATGTTGGATCTACAGTTTCTGGACACGCCTAGAATCCAAATTCAGATATCAGAGAACTGCTCTAATGATTATCGTGTGATTGGAAGGTTTACCGAAAAAACATTAATCGTAGTTTACATACAAAACCCTCCACTTGATGCTTCAGTGGCTGCTCTTCTGCCACGCCTTTTGTGACAACTCCATGAGCTTAACATTGTTTTCATAACGTCGAAGGAGCCAAACATCTGGCAAGAGGAGCTCTATATGTACTGCTTTCGAGAAGGTTTTATCAATGTGCTACTCATTCAACAACTCCAGCAGAAAGTGTTGTTTTATAGCTACAATCCGTATCCATCAATTCGAATCCTGCGATTGACGCAGCTGGAAGATTACCTCAACAGATGGCGGCAGCTATTAAATCTTCAGAAATACCCGATTCGTACAATTTTATTTTCAATTGAGCCACGCATTTTTTCGTATGTGAATCGTAAGGGTCAGTTGGTCTATGCCGGGTACATGTTTAATGCCTTTAAGGAGTTCAGTCGACGCCACAATGCTACGATCCGGATCTTGGATGAGGTTCCCAAAGAGCGTTTACAAATTACCGCCATTGCTTTGTTTGCAAGCAGGAAGATGGATTTTATTTGTTATCCGAAAGACCTTCACGTGAATCAGACTAGCACTGCGCCGCTCCATCTACTCAAATATTATATTGCAGTGCCCCATGCCCGGCCCCTTGCTAGATATTTGTATTTTGCTCGCCCTTTCACTTGGACTATGTGGCTCGCAGTAGCTGGAACGATTGGATACGGGATGCTAATGCTTTATAGCAGCAGCAATAGAAATGGTGTCTCCGAAATAGGGAAGCATTTTTTGAGCAGCTGGTGTCACCTGTTGTTTATTCCACAACCGGTGATCAGCTTTTCCAACTGGCAACATCTTACGATCCACTTCATGATGATGTTGACTGGTTTCATATTGACGAACTTTTATCTGGCATTACTTTCGAGCATGCTGACATCGGGTCTGTTTGAACCGCAGTTCAATACTTTCGACGATCTCGTACGCGCTCCTTATCCACTGCTGCTCGAAAATTCCTATGCCGAGACCTTCAAAAGGGCGCAGTCCATGCCAGATGCGGTCAAAAAGCGCATTATCGTTGTTGACGTCAGCGTTGTGGATGCTTCTCGAATTGCTCTAAACACAAGTTACATGTATATCGGTTATATTGATCGCCTGGATGGCATTCTTTATCAACAGCGCCTGCTGAAAGTACCGCTCTTCAAGCTGACAACACAGAGTTTCATCGATGGTTTTATGTCCGTCCCAGTGGTCACCGGCTTGCCTTACCTTAGCATGCTGAATATCTATCTCAGACGCATTTTCGAGTGTGGCATACTTGCCAAGATGAAGAGCGATGCATGGTTGGAAACAATCGAAGGTGGCATCACTCACATCGTGGTGAGGAGGATGAGCTGAAACCATACGATTTGGAATTCTATTACTATGCGTATGTCTTGTGGGCTGTGGGTTTGGTATTGTCAATGCTCTGCTTCCTGCTGGAGCTGTTTCGTGGGCACATGACTAAACAATTTCAATTGTATGGTTAATTATGTACTTAACGCACATCAATAAACGTGTTGTAAGTGGACTACATTGTAGTCCTAATGATGGGGCCTGCCCTAAACTATATCTATAAAAGCAGCACGCCAACTTTTTGGTGACCCAAAGAGCTCCAATGGACTTACTTTACCTGAACACGCTACAGAATCTAACGTTGCTGCCGGGCAGCTTTGTCGGCCAGTGCATTGATCAGCTCAACGCTTTGTACGACATGGAACTTAATGTGTACGTCGAGTTTGGAAACAAATCGCTTTTTGATAATCTGATGCCAACTAGAGTACCTGGCATACCAACACTTCGGATTAGCAATGCGACACTGCAGCTTGTACTTAATGGCAACTTCAGTGAACGTGCTCTGACCATTATATTTCTGGAGGACGCGCATGCTCTTAGCATGGTTAGCTATCTCACCACCTGGCTGTGGCGTGCTCAGCAACTGCATGTGCTCATCATTTATCCGGCGGCCACGCCGGGTAAGTTGTTTCAACTCTTTGCTCATTGCTGGCGTCAGGGCTTGGTGCACATTCTAGTGGTGTTGCCGCGCACTCAGGAGCTGTATAGCTATATGCCGTATCCGAAACTGCGACTGCTGGAGATGGCAACTACGCTGCAGTATTTTAATCGCACACGTGGCTTGCTTTGGGATTTTCATGGGTTTGAGATAACTTGTGGCATTCTGCCGAGCGGCGCACCTAGGGCCTTTCTTTTTAGAGACCATCGAAATCGTGTTATATATGCTGGTTATATGCTGCGTATGATACTGGACTTTATTAGCCACTACAAGGGCAGCATACGAACTCGCACACTGGATACCTTAAAGGAAGCTAATGAAGCGCTCAGCAGTCGCTTCGTCGACTTTTTACCGTATCTGCTGGCAGAGACACCGAATTTCACGGGCAGTGTTGTCCTCTGGCATGAGAACAGTTTTCTAATGGCACCATCAGCTAGGCTGTTGCCCAGGTATATGTACCTGCTGAAGCCCTACGACTGGGTCACCTGGCTGGCATGTCTGGCCATGTTGATCTACTGTAGTGCTGCATTGTTTCTGCTCTCTCGGGGACGCCGCACTTTGAGTGGCGCCTTTCTGGAAATCTTGCGCTTAACGCTCTTTCTGCCGCCCGGCAGAGATCTGATTGCTCCACCTGCGCCACGTCGCCTGCTGCTTTACACTATAATGACAGTAGCTGGGTTAATGCTGACCAATCTTTACCTGGCGCAGCTGTCCAGCAATTTGGCGGCGGGCCTTTATGAAAGGCAGCTGAACACCTTCGACGACTTGGAGGGCACGGATTACGAGTTGCCGCAAGAGGAAGTCGAATTGAACTTTTTACACAAGCTGCCCGATCTGCATCCGCAGCTGGCCAAACGTCTGGTGGTCACACCGGAGCAGCTGGTGGATAAATATCGACTCGAACTGAACACCAGCATGCTGCACAACGGCTTTGAAGATAGCATTGAGTTTGCACTGTACCAGCAAAAGTTTTTACGCGTTCCATTATTCCACAAGCTACCGAAGATCATCTACCAGCAGCCCTTCTTCATGCCCGCGGCCTATGGGCGCCCCTACCTAAAGATCTTCAATTGGTATGTGCGGCGCATGTTCGAGGGCGGAATCTTGCTCAAGATGAAAAGCGATGGGTTTGCCCATGGGATTCAGAGTGGACGTTTGCGTTTTGTAAACCGTGCCAGATACCAGGAGGTGAATTCCAATGATCTGGAGTACTACTATGCGGCAGCTGGAGTTTGGCTATGTGGCATATTGTTATCCACTGCATGCTTTATCTATGAGAGTTGGCTGGGCTCCAGTTCGCGATTAACAGAGGGAGTGTAAAATTAGGGCGTTCAGATAGTTGTGTTTATAGAAAATCTGAAAATCTGTAACCCGTGAAAGGAGTTTTCTTAGTGAATCATTTTAAAATAATAGAATAAAATGTCTTTCCTCGCATTTTATTTTACTATATTTTAAATCTTACTGGCCAAGCTGAGGAAATTGTGTTAATAGACAACATAGAACACTGTTTACCTCAATTTCACCTTATAATAACCACTTCTTCTTCTTCAATTTTTCGACCTTTCATTCCTATGGCAGCTATATGATATCTGTATCTATGGTTCTAATAATTCTAAAAGAGTGTCTATTCCTCGGCGTGCTGTTCTTTCCTGCGACTTTCCTTCTAATATTTGTAGGAACTGACTCCTAGAAGCCTCACTCTCCCCACTCTCTTTGCCTACACCCTAATCCTCCAACTGCAGCTAACAATTACAAACGCCTCATTTGCATTACCAGCGGGCACACTTGTTGAGTTGGCTTCGACAACGGGCGAGCTGGCCCGCTGGCGGGCTGGGGATCAGTAACTGGCAGTTGCGAGCGCTGGAAGTGTCTTCGGTTATTGGCAAACATTAATTATTTACTCGCGCGCGGCTCTCGTCTAAGCCAACTTCTGTGCTGTGGTTGTTTTTGTTTATGCTTGTTGTTGTTTTTGTGAAAGGCTCGGGCAAGTGATTCAAATGTTTATTTGGTGGTGTATCTTTGATTGCAGACTGGCTGCACAGACAGTCCACAAAATTTGCGCAATGAATGTGCCCAGGCTCGGTCAGGCCACTCAGGTATCTCATTCGCTTGGTCTCCTCAAGCTTTTGCTATTTATTTTTGGCCAAAATTGCACATTTTCCCATGCTGCTGCTGCTGCTGCTGTTGCTGTTAGCCATTGATGTTAGCTGTTAACTGTTTGTTGTTGCTGTTGTTGTTGCTGTTGTTGTTGCTGTTATTGTTGTTGTTGTCGTGGCCGCGTCGCGTCTAATCAAGGAGCGGAGTGGCTGCAGCAACTGCCTAAGCCACAGCCTCAGCCTCTATTCTCTAGCCTCTGTCTCAGCTTGTGCCTGGCCGGGTTGTGCCGGGGCCGCCCGTTGCCATTTAGACCCCGAGGCAGCTAAAACGATGAATATTGATTTAATTGAAAGTCATTGAGGCGCACGTACTCATAGACACATAGACACACGCGGCGCACAGTTTTCCATTTGGCGTGGCTCCAACTCCAAAGGCAACGCTTCAGCTCCAACGCCAATATCGCTGCGGGCCCTCCCACATGCCACCAACATCATCCACATCCACAACGCCCAAACATTTGTTGTTGGCACATTGACACAGTTTCTATTCAGCGTCACAGCGACCGGGCAGATGTGCCGCTCGTCGCCCACCCATTCCTGCTCCGCGTCCCCGTTAATGCCACCATGTTGCAGGTTTGTCGACATGTTTTTCTTTCGGTTGGCGACGCTGCTGCCAAATGTCAAGAGGTTAATACGTGAATTAACAGCAAATTTCTTTGACTTGTGTGTGCCTGCATGTTGGCTGTGTTTGCTGCTGTTGTTTTTGTTGTTGATTTTGCTCTTCGTGCAGCTGCTGGCGCTTTCATTGGAATGCGGGCGTTGCTCAGTTTGTTGTTTTTTTTTTTCCTCCACACAGTCAAAGAAGTCGAAAATGCATTAGGCCAGCCCAACCACACCAACATGTGGTCGGTGATGTTGGGCGATAGATCAGACTGTGTATTTAAAGATATTACATTAACATTTTTGAAGCTTTTAGTACGCCGAAACACTCGTTTATAAATCAAATGGAATTTCTCTGAATTAAATACTTTTCATTTCTTACAAGCATAAGAAAACTACAAATGCAACATTTGTATTTTTATTTATATTTTTCGGATTTTCCAAGCACTGAGCTTATGTGGAAACTCATAAAAATATTAAAATAATATATAAGAAAAATATACATTAAAAAGACAGTATTCGAGTAGTCGAAATAACATTTTGACTTTTAAGGTATATAACAGTATTTGTTCATCAGTCTCGTATAACAGAAAAGCTTCAAGTACCGTTGTCCTTGCTGCATAGCAAAGTCATGAACCGCGCATCCTTTCTAGTTGCGCACTTTAAGCGCCAGATGGCGACACTCTTGCGAATCTTAGTATGAACTCTATTTGAAAGTAAAATAGAAAACATAAAAGTATCCGACTAGGAAGTGCTCTTCACAACAAATGTTTGATATTAGTTTCATCATATCAACAACTATATATTTATTTTACTCTCAAATATCCCATATAATCATAGGTTAAAATTGACCACTCCTATAACTCGTTCGCTGTCTACCCGTTATTTATGAACGTACGTACTATGAAAGAATATAGTGAATATAAGAATTTTCAAGCAATCACCTGTTGACTCTTGAATAGACGCACTTATACAGGCGGACCAGTGGATATGCTAGATCGTCGTTCTTATTAAGAATATCATGCTCTTTATGGGGCCAGATTTGCCTATTTCTGTAGCTTATATTCATTTCCACAAACCCATTATACCCTGTTTTTGTAAGTCTTTATATGCAATTTCATGCAATTTCATCCAAATTCCAATCTGCACCTCTCTATCGTTCGCCTGGGTTGCTAGCCCACATAGATGACCAAAGTGCGATTAAACAATTACAAAAATAAAAACATACAAAATAGAGTCGTACGTCTATGCAAATTTCTGTGCGCAGTTGTCGGCAAGTGCATAACTTTTATTAAATTTTTATTTTAATACCCAGGCAGTGGGTATTTGAGTTTTGTCGCCAAATGTGTGACGAGACTTTGTTGCCAAAAATGTATATATATTTGTTGGTCACAATCTACAAATCTGCTATGTGTTATGAGCAATTCATCTGCGGTCAGGTATCGTTGAAGAAGTGTCGAATAGTTTTGTTCAAATGTGTGTAATAGACAGAAACAGACTTCTCCAAGCCAATAATTAAATATGCTTGATCTTCTTCTTCTTTAAGTTCACAACAAGAGTTCATTTAACGGCACGTGCAGAGCAATATTATTTCAAGCTATCAATATCTCCCCATGTCATCAACAATCTCGAATAGTGTAATCAGATGTAGAATATTCCATTTTAGAATAAATAAATTCCCCATTTTCTCTGAATGGTATGCACACATTTGCACATATCATAAGGATGTGGCTATAAATACCAAAGTTATTCCATAGGTTCGGTCTAATAGAAGAAATGTCATTGTCAAGGCATTAGGTGTGCCAATTTTTGTGTATATTGTTAAAGATTCTCGGCACTT